GGTCTGCTAGAGAGGCAAGCCGAGCTGCGGGATCGGCGATCAGCGCTTGAAACGTCACGCGCCGATGCACACAAGTCAGTGGTTAGTAACTTTTTGACTCCGACTTCGTCCACTCCGTGCGTTTCTCTGCCCAGGAGGACGCGATCATCTCTGGCATCATTCACTCCGGCACCAACCCAACACCATGGACCCTGGGTGATCCCACAGCGGAAGACACGAGCCAGGACCAGAGCAAGAACCTCTCCGCCCCTCCCGGTCTTCGAGATCTCCACCCGGAACCGCTTCTCCCCTCTTCGCGAGTCGGAACGCGACGACGCCGTGATCATCGGCACTTCCATGGTCCGTCATGTCCGTGCTACCTCAGGTAAGGGTAAGGTGCGCACTCACTGCCTTCCTGGTGCTCGTGTTCTTGATGTCGCCGCACAGGTTCCCCAGATCCTGAACGGTGAAGAGCGCGTCGGAGCTGTGGTGCTTCACGCTGGAACAAACGATATCAGGCTACGGCAGACGGAGGTTCTGAAGAAGGACTACAGGAGCCTGATCGAGGCGGTACGCAGCACAGCGCCTGAGGCAACGATCATCGTGTCTGGACCGCTTCCCACGTACCGACAAGGACAGGAAAGGTTCAGTAGATTATTTGCACTAAATGAATGGTTAATGTCATTGTGTAATGAACAAAAACTGCTCTTTGTAAATAATTGGAATCTGTTCTGGGAGCGACCTAGGCTCTACCGTGCTGATGGCCTGCACCCCAGCAGAATCGGAGCGGCTGTTCTGTCGGACAACATCTCCAAGACGTTACGCACCGTATGACTAGAAAATCAAATTCCAAATCACAGTCTTTGCTGTGCCAATTTAATTGATATAAGTAGTGTAGAACATTATATAGAAACTGTGTCTATTCCTCGTTTAGTGAGGCCAAATAATAAATCCACTGTAGGATCTAGGAAAAATCTTATTGTAATTAAACCTGAAAATCTAAATATCAGTGAACAAAAACAATTTCTAAAACTAGGTCTTCTAAACATTAGATCGCTCACACCTAAGGCGGTTATTGTAAATGAAATGGTCACAGATAATAGCTTCGATGTACTTTGCCTTACTGAAACCTGGCTTAAACCAAACGAGTATTTCGGTCTAAATGAGTCTACCCCGCCAGGATACTGTTATAAGCATGAGCCCCGTCTGATCGGTCGTGGCGGCGGTGTTGCAACAATCTATAGAGATATTCTTAATGTAACTCAGAAAACAGGTCACAGGTTTAATTCGTTTGAAGTACTGGTGCTAAACGTTGCGCTCTTAGATGTAAGAAATAAATCCCTATTATCTCTAGCCTTGGCTACTGTATATAGACCTCCAGGGCCATATGCTGATTTCCTAAAAGAGTTTGCAGACTTTCTCTCAGATCTATTGGTCAATGCCGATAAAGCAATAATTGTTGGAGATTTTAACATACACGTAGATAACACAAACGATGCGTTAGGGACTGCGTTTACAGATTTATTAAACTCCTTTGGGGTCAAGCAGAATGTCAGTGGTCCCACTCATCGTCTAAATCATACACTAGATTTAATTATATCATACGGAACCAATCCAACCGATATAGATATTATACCGCAAAGTGACGATCTCACCGATCATCACATGGTAACTTGTATAATACGCACTGCTGAAATTTGTCATGTTGCGCCACGTTATAGACCAGGCAGAACAATCCTTCTGACCACTATAGATAGATTCTCAAATAGCTTACCTGATCTATCTCAGCTGCTCAGTGAACCCAAACAAACAGATGAACTAGAGGAAATGACTAGCAGTTTGAGCACCATTTTCTCTAGTACATTATATATTGTTGCACCAATTCGATCAAAAAAGGTTAGAGAGAAAACTAAAGCACCATGGTACAACAGTGCTACGCATGCTATCAAGAGAGAAACTCGTAACCTAGAGCGTAAATGGAAACAAACTAATTTAGAGGTCTTTAGAATCGCGTGGAAAGACAGTATGTCACGTTATAAAAAAGCTCTAAAAGCAGCCAGGGCTGAGCATCTCCGCAAACTAATAGAAAATCACCAAAATAATCCAAGGTTTTTATTTAACACCGTGGCTAGACTAACAAATAAACAGACATCACCCGAGCAAATTATTCCGTTACAGTATAGCTGTAATGATTTTATGAACTACTTCAATGAGAAAATAAAAAGCATCCGAAACACAATTGTAAATGTACAATCCTCTATGGTGTCTTATGATTCAGCCTCAATTATCGCCCCTCAAGAACAACTACACCGCTTTACAACTATAGGACAGAAAGAGCTAAATAAACTTATCATTGCATCTAAACCAACAACATGTTTATTAGATCCAATACCAACTAAATTTCTGAAAGAAGTGTTACCTGTAGTGGAAGAGCCTCTTCTTAATATTATTAACTCGTCTTTATCTTTAGGTCATGTTCCAAAAATATTCAAGCTGGCAGTAATAAAACCTCTCATTAAGAAACCGCAATTAGATCCAAATAACTTAGCAAATTACAGACCGATTTCAAATCTTCCATTTATGTCTAAAATACTAGAAAAGACTGTGTCCGCTCAATTGTGCTCTTTCATGCAAGAAAATGAGATATATGAAAAATTTCAGTCAGGATTCAGACCGCATCATAGCACAGAAACTGCGCTAGTTAAAATTACAAATGATTTACTTTTAGCTTCTGACCAAGGCTGTATCTCAATACTAGTTCTACTCGATCTTAGTGCTGCGTTTGACACTATCGATCATAAAATACTCTTGGATCGACTACAAAACTACACTGGTGTTCAGGGACAGGCATTAAGCTGGTTCAGATCGTATTTATCAGACTGTTACCATTTTGTTTGTTTAAATGGGGAAAAATCGAAGATAACGTCAGTAGACTATGGAGTGCCGCAAGGATCGGTGTTAGGCCCTCTGCTATTCTCAATATATATGCTGCCACTTGGTAATATTATAAGAAAACATGGAATTAATTTCCACTGTTATGCTGATGACACTCAATTATATATTTCATCACGGCCAGATGAAAACACTAACTCATCAAAATTGACAGAGTGTCTTAAAGATATAAAATGCTGGATGACGCATAATTTCCTGCTACTAAATCCAGATAAAACCGAGGTATTACTTGTTGGTCCAAAAAACTATCCACAAAACCACTTACAATACAACTTTAATATAGAAGGATGTCCTGTTACTTTATCCTCTACGGTAAAAGACCTGGGAGTTATACTAGACCACAACTTGTCTTTCGAAAATCATATTTCATATGTTACAAGAACGGCCTTTTTCCATCTTAGAAACATTGCTAAATTACGTAACATGCTATCTGTTTCCGATGCAGAAAAGTTAGTTCATGCATTCATGACCTCGAGACTAGATAACTGTAATGCTTTATTAGCCGGTTGTCCTGCATCCTCAATAAACAAGCTACAGTTAGTGCAAAATGCAGCCGCTAGAGTTCTTACTAGGTCAAGAAAATATGATCATATAACACCGATTCTATCATCTCTGCACTGGTTACCTATCAAGTTCCGTATCAATTACAAAGTACTATTACTGACCTATAAAGCCCTAAATGGTTTAGCTCCTGTGTATTTAATGGACCTTCTATCGCCCTACAATCCATCGCGTTCTTTAAGATCACTAAATTCGAGGCTTCTAGTCATTCCTAGGATATCTAAGTCCACTAAAGGAGGGAGGGCGTTCTCACATTTAGCTCCTAAACTCTGGAATAGCCTTCCTGATATTGTTCGAGGCTCAGACTCGCTGTCCCAGTTTAAAACTAGATTAAAGACGCATCTTTTTAGCCAAGCATTTACATAATGCTTACCTTTTATTATACTGCTGAATCAGATCAAATGCATTTAATACTATAAAACTTGAAGAGACTGTAGGTTATCTGTATAGGTTGCATAGTATTTGCAGTTATTACGTTCCTGTGTATATTGCGTGAATGACGGGTGGTTGGGCAGATATTGTGTTGCGGTAGGTAGTATGCCATACGGAACCGTTGTCCACTGAAACTGCCTATTCACGCACCAGTGGGGCTCGACAGCCTTAGTCAACGGGTTGGCGCGTATGGTTGGGTTGCGGAGAGATTGTGAGATTGTGGTTAGGTCTCAGCAGCAGGAGGGATGTAGAGGTCAGTAAGCTGGGCTGAGTTGAGTGGGGGACGGAGGGGGGTGATTTTGGGACGCAAGAGTCACTGTCTTCATGTTTTGTCTTTTACGCCTGTGTTATGGAAATCATCATTATGAACAGCAGCTACGCTAATTATTTTCCCTTTGCTTTTCTGCTGTTATCTCGGGACGCGAGTCCCGAGAAAATGGCGTTCGTCAGCTCCAGTTTGTATCCAGCCTCTCACGGAGACTTCAGATGCTCCAATCACAAAGCCTATGAAGTGACGACTCAACACGGGCGATATGGACTCTCTATGGTGGACGGCACTGATCCTCAACAACTCGTCTTAAGACCGGCGTGCATACTTGGACTTCCAAAAAATACTCTAAATGTTCCGATCCAATCTGACTTGTAATGCTGCCCGAATCATGCACTGTTCTTCCGTTGGCCAGAGGAGAACTGGCCCCCCGACTGAGTCTGGTTTCTCCCAAGGTTTTTTTCTCCATTCTGTCACCTGATGGAGTTTTGGTTCCTTGCCACTGTTGCCTTGGATTTTGGCTTGCTTAGTTGGGGACATTTAACATTTAATATTCAATAATATTATTGATCTGCCTTACTTAAGGTGGACGTTGACGCAATTTCTTTTAGAAACAAACTTTGTTATATTGTTATATTGTTTTTGTTATATTGTTTTCATGTTATCACTGTGAAGCGCTTTGATACAATCTGTATTGTAAAAAGCGCTATATAAATAAAGGTGACTTGACTTGACTTGACCATTCAGGTTTTACATGTAGGTATATGAGAGAATGCAACTGCATGTGTGTGTAATCAGTGTATCTCACCAACGTAAGGCGATTTTGATTGGTGTAGTGAGGCAGGAGGTGAAGAGGTCAGCAGGGAGGTCAGGGTTCATGGGCAGGAGCTCACTGGCCTCACAGGCGGCCAACTGAATGCAGTTCTTCATGGAGGGAGGCAGGGGCATCTGAGCCAGCGGGTGGTTTGGGTTTATTGCTGCCACCTAGTAAAAAATAATGAAAACAAGTGAGCAGAATTAAATCAGGTCCCCCAGGAATATGGAAGTATGTTGTGTCGATGCTGATGACTCTGATGTCTGAATGTGTTCAACAGACTTGAGTGACACAAACACCAGCTTGTGATCATTGGCTTTTTTTTTTTTTTCAGAATCTTTTCCCTGACAGAACATAACACTTTTTGGACAAGCTAGAAAAATATATATTTGTTAAATTGTAAAGTGAAAATGTGTGGTTGAAAATTACTCATATTGTGGTAAAGATTTTGGTCATGTCATTTATCTCTAAGTAGGTAACAGGAAGCTGCTAGAAGTCACTCCATAATGCTTAAATGCACAATGCTAAGATAGGGCTGTGCTCAGATGGCCAGCAAAAAAAAAAAAAAGTATATATATATATATATATAGTCTTTTTATATATATATATAACAAGCACAATCAGGCCTTAAGAGAGCAGCAAGAAATATGGAGCATAGCTGGAAGAAAACAAAACTAGACGTTTTTCAAATTTCATGGAGAGAGAGAGCACTCTCTTAGAAAAAAACAAACCCTAGGTATTTATTTGATACCATGGCTAAATTAACAAGAAATAAAGCTTCTACTTCTGAAGTTTCCAAAGAGCATAGCAGTAATGACTTCATTACTTACAAGATTGATAATATTAGAGAGAAAATTATAACTATGCAACCGTCTACTACAGTATCGCATCAGACAGTGCATTGTAGTGTCGCTGAGGAAAAATTCCATTCATTTGTTGCAATAGCCGAGGAAGAATTGTCTAAACTCGTTAAATCATCTAAATCAACAACATGTATGTTTGACCCTAAACCGACTAAGCTACTGAAAGAGATGTTTCCAGAGGTCATAGATCCTCTCCTTAATATCATAAATTTATCTTTGTTACTAAGATATGTACCGAAAACTTTTAAGCTGGTTATTATATTATATGCCAGCAGCCATATCACCCTGTAGCCCAAGACTGGTTGCCCACTGAAGCTAAGCAGGGCTGAGCCTGGTTAGTACCTGGATGGGAGACCTTCTGAGAAAACCAGGTTGCTGCTGGAAGAGGTGTTAGTGAGGCCAGCAGGGGGCGCTCACCCTGTGGTCTGTGTGGGTCCTAACGCCCCAGTATGGTAATGGGGACAACTATACTGTCAAAGACCACCGTCCTTCGGATGAGACGTTAAACCGAGGCCCTGACTCTATGTGGTCACAAAAAAATTCCAGGATGTCTTTCGAAAGAGTAGGGGTGTAACCCCGGCATCCTGGCCAAATTTGTGTACATAATGGCCTCCTAATAATCCCCATATATATATACCAATTGGCTTCATCACTGTCTCCTCTCCACCAGTAAGCTGGTGTGTGGTGGGCGTTCTGGCGCAATATGGCTGCCGTCGCATCATCCAGGTGGATGCTGCACACTGGTGGTGGTTGAGGAGATTCCCCCTTCTATGTAAAGTGCTTTGAGTGCAGAGAAAAGCGCTATATAAATGTAATGAATTATTATTATTATTATTATTATTAAACCTCTTCTTAAAAAAACACAACTTGATCCTAGAGAATTAGTCAATTACAGGCCGATGTCAAATCTACCCTTTTTGTCAAAGATACTAGAAAAGGCAGTATCCTCACGACTACGTTCCTTTTTAGAAAGAAATGGTATCTGCGTATCATAGTACTGATACTGCTCTCATTAGAGTTACAAATGATTGCTTTTATCCGATCATGGTTGTATCTCTCAATTAGTGTTACTCGATCTTAGTGCTGCATTTGACACTATCGAATACAACATTCTTTTGAATAGGCTTGATAATTATGTTGGCATTAGTGGAATTGCATTGGCATTAGTGGAATTGCATTAGCATGGTTTAAATCATACTTATCTGACCGTTATTAGTTTGTAGCAGTAAACGAAGAGATGTCACATCGATCACAAGTTTAGTATGGAGTACCACAAGGCTCAGTACTAGGACCGTTGCTGTTCACTCCGTACATGCTACCCTTGGGAGATATCATTAGGAAGCATGGGATTAGTTTTCACTGTTATGCCGATGATACTCAGCTCTATATGTCTTCATGCCCAGACGAAACTTACCAGTTCATAAAATTAACGGAATGCATAGCTGATATAAAATTTGGATGACTAGTAATTGCCTACTACTTAATTCTGAAAAAAAAAAAAAACAGAGTTTCTAATGATTGGACCAAAAACCTCTGCACGTAATAACCTAGAATACTGTCTAACAATTGATGGCTTCTCTGTCAAGTCTTCGTTGTCGGTTAGGAACCCGGGTGTGCTCTTTGATACCAATCTTTCATTTGAAAGACACGTTTCTAACATCTGTAAAACCGCATTTATCCGTCTTAAAAATATATCTAAATTACGACGTGCTTTCAATGAAAAATGTGGAACAGTTATGCGTTCATGACCTCAAGGCTAGATTATTGTAATGCTCTACTGGGTGGTTGCCCTGCACGCATAATAAAACTACAACTGGTCCAAAACGCAGCAGCTCGAGTTCTTACTAGAACCAGGAAGTATGACCATATTAGCCCAGTTCTGTCAACACTGCAATTGCTCCTTTTAAACATTGTATACATTTTTAAATATTGATGATTACTTACAAAGCACTAAATGGTTTAGCTCCCCAGTCCTTGAGCGAGCTCTTAGCGCATTATAGTCCTTCACGTCTATTGCGATCTCAAAATTCTGGCCAGTTGATAATACAGAGAATATCAAAATCGACTTATGGCGGTAGATCCCTTTCCTATTTAGCACCTAAACTCTGGAACAGTCTTCCTAACATTGTCCGGGAAGCAGACACACTCTGTCAGTTTAAATCTAGACTAAAAACACATCTCTTTAACCTGGCATACACATAGAACATTATACATTCATATTATAATTTAAATCTGTTAAATGATTATTAGGCTGCAAACATTTGTTCAGCCGGAACCGGGAACACTTCCTATAACACCCGACGTACTTGTTACATCTTAAGAAGAATGGCATCTACGCTAATGTTAGTCTTTCTGTTTATTCCGAGGTTTACTGTAATCAGCCGGATCGGGCCGTATACAGATCAGATGCTGGACCCACACCTAGACATGACCACAACATGATGTAGTCAACCGGATCCGGGCTGTATCCAGACCAGATAGAGGACCTGCTCCTAGACACGACCACAACGCATCCCTGAAGAGTCAGCAGAGATTGTGTCAACTAGACTCTCCCCTGTGAAGGCCTCATTGACACGACAGCCATCAGCACTGATCCTCAACAAACTCGTCTCCATACCCGCGTGATGACTCCTATCTTCAACCAGATGGAACTGGATAATATTCTGAATCTGAACTTCCAATCCAATCTGACTTCTGACTTGCTGCCTGAATCATAATCATACACTGTTCGTTCGTTGGCCAGAGGAGAACTGGCCCTCCGACTGAGCTTGGTTTCTCCCAAGGTTTTTTCCTCCATTCTGTCTGGATTTTTGGTTCCTTGCCACTGTCGCCTTTTTCGCCTTTGTCCCCACTGGCTTTTGGCTTGCTTTGTTTGGCTTGCTTTGACATTTAACTTAATATTCAACAATATATGCATTTTAGAAGTGTATATTTTTGTTTTTTATCTTCTGGAATGCAACGTGTACATAACGTCACACAAAAGGTGCAATACTGTATGGAGCTGTGACCGAATAATATAAACATTTTAGCTGAACCTTTCCTTATATAGTCAACAACGTGACATTCATTATGTAGTGAATAGTAAATGAGTAAACAGGGTAGACAGTACAGTATTTGCATGAATATGTAAAAAGCCTTGGTCACACTCAGTTTTATATATATATTTCATATACTGTGCGTTTTCTCACGTATGTGTTGTTTAGCACTGAGATGTCATGATAGTAATGAGTAGAGATCTTTTTTTTTTCAGTTTTCCATCTTCTCTTTCCCCTTCCATTTCTACATCAACCAATGTAGATTTACCAAATAATGGTTACACTATCTGAACCAACAGATAGTGAAAAAACAAAAACAAGCCAGAAATAAGCTGCATGTTATATTATCTATTATCATAGACTCAAAACAAGCTGATTCATCCTGTGACCCTCCAAACACGTGAGATGGTCACAGCATTACAAAGCAAGAACAGATTTTCTCCCCCTGAAGACTGGATAAATCGAAATTTATCCATTCAGAGTAGGTGTCGATAGAGCATAGTATTGCAATCTTTTGCGTGGGGATATTAGGCTCATTTGAGATGAGAAAATTCTGTGCAGAACCGATCACCACTGATCACCGTGAAAGGCATGCCAGTTAGAAATGTGTCCGAGCGTGGGCCGCCTTGCTCTGAAGTCATGCTGACGTGTGCCAAAAAACTCTCGCTACAGCGAGGCAGCTGCGTCGGATTCTGCAGTCAGGCACAGTTGTACTCACCCGACTGTGCTGATCAATAGCACAATGGGAAACAACTCGCTGATGACACATCTTAATGCTTATTGATTTAAGTAATAATGATGTATTGTTCTCTTTTAAAGCAACACTAAGTAAGATTTTTTACCTTAAAATAATGTTTCCAAAATCGTTTCAGTGGTTCATTAAGTCGTAACAGGGTGAAAGGCACTTCTGGATTCGCTTTGCGGTATCTGCTGTAACCACGCTATGTAAGATTGCCAGATCGGGTCGCGTTTCTGTAGTTCTAATGAGACATAAGAAAACTACAAACTTGACTTGCTTTACGTCAAGCGTTACAATAGTCATTATTTTGTTTTTCTTCGTTTCTGACATCGCAATACATCATACTTTCATGAAATCATGCAACATACTCTACCTTGTCTGTGGACATCGTTCATTCCAAAGCCGGTGCTGGATAAACAACGAGCGTGCGTGTGACAGTAGGCTGCGGTAGGCTAAATTATTTACGACAGCGGTAATGGATAATTCCGCTTCCAACCTGTAGGGCGACCGTTACTTGGTGTTACTTGGTGTTG